TGTCTTCTCAAAGGCTAACATTTAATTTAAATGATAGGGTCTTTCCAGACTCCGAGGGGAATTTCTTTCCTGCTCTCCTGAAACATTGTCATACTTCACTTCCAAACACCAGCATATTCCTTGAGCACCAGAAAAACACAGGAATGGAAACACCCCTGTGCAGGTAAGGAATTGGGAGCAGGCCGAGTGACAAATATATGATCAAGAGCACCCAGGGCTGTGCTTGGTGGGCGAGGGCTCGGGCGCCTTCAGGCTCAAATGGGGGGCAGGAGAGCCCTGACACACTTCGTCCTGCCCCTTGCTTTCATATTTGGGCACCCTGTGTCCAGCCCTGTTATTGAATCAATAACAACAGGTCCACGGTGGCATCCTGGTGGAAACCTGCTGCTTGGGAGGAAAAAAAAAAAAACCACATTTTCCTTCTGCATGCCAAGGAATGCTGCAAACATCTCCCAGTGAAGGGTAAATGGGACATGTTGCCTTCAGCAGCACTGTCAGAGCCCAGGTTACAGAAACCCGAGTTTATGTTAAAAGCATTTGATTTGACTGCAGACACAGCTTGGATTATTGAACGGACTTCTATTTCATTTCTGTCTCCCTGATTACAGCAGATGCCCCAAATAATGCACAGCTTTTCGAAAAGCGCCCTCCAAGCCCCAGTGCTGCCTGCTGCGTAAGCCCCACGCTGGGAGTTTAATCCAGATTACTGCAGTAAATGCGATCGTCGTGAAAGCAAAACCCGGCGGTGTTTTCCTGATACGATGCCCCATCTGGGGGCTTCTCACCGGTCTTCTTGCAAAGTACCTTGGTGAAAAGCACGTTGCACCCTCTTCCCTTCCACTCTTTCCTGGTTGTGTGCAAAGGAACCTCATGGAAAGGGAAATGGCAGAGCCCGTGGCCAGTTAGTGATGGCAGGAGGCGAAGGGTGGTTGGTCACCTCCCCACCACCCCGAGCCACTGCTGCCCTGGCAGCTCTTTGCACACCCCACGAATCTCTCCTGTGTTTGCAGAGACAGTGTCAACACCTCTGGGAAACAGCCCGTGTGTGTTTTACAAAGAAACCTGCTGTTTTACGCAGGGTTTACAACCAGCGTGCCCTGCTGTGGAGAGGAGCGACGTTCTCAGGCATTCGGAGTTTGTTTTTTGATGACGTGGGCAGCGATGTGAACGGGACGTGGAGTCCTCCGGGGAGCGAGGTAACCTGAATCCCCGGCAGCTTTCTTAACCTTTGCTTTTGCAGATGTTCACGGCTTTGCACGAGGTGCTCCTGGGAAGCATCAGATGGGGAGCACATGGGATGAAAGATGGGGAGACGTCCGCTCTTCACTCAATGTCCACGCTCGGCCTAGATGGCAAAGACATTAAGGTTCTCCTCGTGAAGGAGCAGGGACAAGGACGCACGGAGCTCCTGGGTGAGCTCACAAGCAAGTCTAGAGGAAAGTGCTCTCCAGACTGCTCTTAATCTATAGGCAGAGAAGGACTTCCAGCTCTTTCTAGACACCAAACTATTTCATGGAAAATTGTTATTTGAGGACTTTTATCCCAGACTAATCCTACTTCTTCCACTAACAAGACCAGGTCAATATCAGAGAACAAACAGAAAGAAATATATTCCCTACACAAGTAGCACAACATGGTATAGACCTTCCCTCCACGCACACAACAGTGGGTGAGAAAACAGACTCCTAGATTCCTCTGGGAAAGGATAAGGAAGGAAGATGGAAGGACTGTATCCGAACAATCTGAAAGCCACCCAACCGCACTTCAGATGTGCCCAGCTCTCTCTGCTGAGGAGACAGGGGTGGTCTTTGGGCCACATTTGGACCACATTAGGACACCAGTTATGAATGGCTAGACCCTACAAAGAACTAGGTTTGGCAACGTCCGCATCAAACTCCTTGTTAGTGTGGAGAAAGCCATCTCTCCATCCCCATGCTGCTACTGTGCAGAAGGATCAAACATCGCCTTAGACATCGCCTGTGGAAAGTCCAGGGAAGAGGCAAAACAACAAAGAGAAGGAAAGACAGTTTTTCTGGCAGAAGCACTGCTCCAGATCCATAGGATCCAAAACCCAAGCCAGAAAGAGGTCAGCCTCCACGAAGGGAGGTGTTCAGGGAGTCCGTCCAGGGGCTGAAGATACATCAGAGCCAAAATGCCAGGTGATGACAGGCAAGCGTGTGACGGGAGAAGGCAGAGATGGGCTCTGGGCTTGAAACTGTTGCCAGCCACTTGCCAATTTTACGTCTGGAAGCATCTTGCGGACAGTGGGCGCCTCGCTCATTGTGAACACTGGTGCTCAGTTCCTTTATGTACTGCAATTCCCTGCAGACTGCAGGGAGCGAGCTGCTTGCCAGCAGGATGTGGCTGCGCGCCGTCATCCATCAACGTCGGCCTTCGCGAGGAACGCGGAGTTCATTCTCGTGCGGCTCCTCAGACCTCCGGGGACCGCGTTGTCTCTAGCTGAGGCTGGTAGTCACCTGGAACAGTTCTCCAGCCCCGCTGAGCAGCAGGAGTGTCCATTAACTACCACGGATCGGTGGGGATGGTTTGTAAACTCCGGATACATACAGCGGGGCCGGGGCGCTTATTGGCTGGTGCTTTCCGCTCTCAGAAATGGGTCATTTAAACAGAAAACTGTGAAGTGTTCATGCCTCTGAATGCAGAGAAACTATCAAAACAAGCTGCTGTCTCCACGCCACAGACTCTGCATTCAAATACAGACTTGGGCCATGTTGCACGGGAACGGACCAAGTGCTCCCAGCAGATTCCTTTCCTTTTTCTGATGTTTCATACAATAAACATTTCAACTCTCTGGCATGAGAGCAGACCTACCCCAATTACCAGGGCGGCTTGTTTTGTTTGGAGTAATAGTTAAGGATCCCATCCTGCCTCACCGGAGCCAGTGAGAAAACTCTCATTGTCCCCAGTGGGACTGAATCCAGGAGAGTCCATTGGCACATTAGGGACATCGCTCTTACTAGCAGAGTATTTTGTCTGGGTGAGCAGTGGGAGATGGAGCTTTCCTTGCAGAAGTAAAACCAGTCTAAGCGTGTTCTCCCATGGCTCCACCTCCACAAAGGTGGAGACATCAGAGCTCCCCAATGAAATGCAAGGCAGGGGCTGGCATCACCTGTCCACGTTGCTATAGGCTGATGGGGGACAGCAGACCATTACAGTTCTGCAATGTCCTACAGCTGACTGACCTTTTGTCCATGTCACTTGTACCTCTGCAAGACACAGAACAGAACTACGGTCCCTGGGGTCTCAGAAATCTCAGCTCTGCAGTGCTGTATTTCAGAAAGTCGGAGAGGAGTGAAGATAGAAAGAAGTTGGAAAACTTCAAGATTTGGGAATTAATGCATGCTAAGAGAAACAAAATTCAATTTAGTGAGATCTAAATAACAACTGCTCATCATTAATGGCTAGGTTCAATATGCAGCTTATGCAAAGTTGGGTTGTTTTTTTGCAGCATTGTTGGTGGTCTAAGTCTGAATTTAAAGTGACATAGAGGCTAAATGGCAAAGGTGCCACCAAACAAGGGATCAATGGGCCGATGAAATCGAGATGCTGATCTAGGACTCACCGTCAGCTGTAGAAATAGGGAGCCTGGGGGATGAAGGCTGTGGAGGCAATCAAATGATCAAGGAGGAGCCCAGAAATGGAAGTAGCCTTCATGAATCATCATCTAGCCCTCTTGGGGCACAAGGTAATAGAGATACTACTTTTGAAAGAACATGTCCTGAGCTACCATGACTGAAGTAGCTCTTTGAACCCCTAGTCTCAAAAACTGAAGTAATTCAGACACTACTTTTCTTCAGCTACTGATTATGTGATAATTGCATTTAGCATCTGAACACTATTTCAGTTAAACAAGCCAGAAGTCAGGGGCACAGAAGACAGTCGAGCAGATCTTGCCCATTGTCATTATATTGTGGAAGTATCAGCAGGGGATGGATCTGCAACTGGAGCTGGGTCACAAGGGCTGAGATGGTTACCACACCACAGTACCACAGAATGAAAAGCCTTGGAGAGCTTGGAAAGAGGAAACATGCACCTATAGCTGTCCTGAACCATCATAGCAGTGATAGCGAGCATCTTTTTGTGAATAACCACTAGGTTACTCAACCTCCAGAGCTATATAAACTCCTGAAGGGTCCAGTGAAGCCTATCAGCCCACTCGTTTACCTCATTAAATGCCATCTGTGCTTTATCAACCATGTGTCACATCCAGTTATTCCAACCAGCTCCATCACAGCACTCAGCAAAGGTATATCTATATCGGAATATCCACGAACAAGATGAGGTCCATCTGTCGTTGGTGCTAACATACAGTTTGTCAAGATGGTTCCTGCATAATCCCAGCTTCATGGGGATGGTTCTAGGTCCTTCTCTGAAATATCTGAATTATTTTAGGCAATCTGTTCTATCTTGTTATGATCTTCAGAATGCAGCTCTTGCAACATCCATCTAGTCAGGCAGAGAGCCTGATAATGACTTTTCATCAGTTGTGGTGCAGAAATAATCTAATGTTGAGCATCTCTCTGAGCTTGCTCTGGTTTCAGATTGGTGCCTAGATGGACAAAGAAAGATTGTGAAGTTCCGTTGCACCTAAAAACTGCCAAACATCCTTGTAATGCACTAAAATAAGGATGCGATCACTTCCTCGAGCCCAAGCAGGTTTGTCACCACTGCAGGGCTGACGCTGCATCAGCCAGGAGCACAGCTCCCATGCTGTCTTTAAATTCCTCAAAATTCATCTTTCAAAACAGAGACATTTTCAAAAGGAAAAAAAATGTTGAAATAATTTAAAAATAAATGAAGTATTTCCACCTTTTTTCCTCAAAGGTTTCTTTTTCTTTCCAATTTGTCAAAACATGCTCCAAAGCCATGAGTGTTTCTGAATGTCCTCCAACGACATTCTTACCTGGGTCCATTATTTCCAGGAATATCCACATGTCTTGGCGGAGGTCAGGAAGGTAGCAGGAGCGGGCTCTGAGAGGGTGGTCCTTGAGGAGGATGCAAGTGGTGAGCTTGACGTGAAAGGCCCCTCTCTGCAGCTGCCTTGCTTTACGTTGTCTTGGGAGCTCTGGCCTTGACATAAAGCTGTCCTGCAGCAGATGCTACACGTGGGATTTAACTGGTACACAGTGGCCATCCTCATTCCCTTGGCACGATGCGAAGCTGCTTGCATGCATTAGATGCTTCCTGAAAACGTCCAAGAACACAAAGCCCAAGGTGTGTTAATCTAGCTATGAAACACTCACGTGCACACTGAGCAGCCATACCTATCTCCCCTCCATTGCAAAGCACCCTCCGAACCACCCCGCTTGCTCATCCCTGCCCCTCTGCTGCTCCTCCACCACGTGGCCAACACGTCCCACGTTGACGTGCGCTGCCTCTGCAGCCCTGGTGGCCACAGCGAGCAGGAAGGAGGCAGGCGGGGAGGACAGACGGGCTCAGGATGGAGCCCATCACCTGCCCGCGAGGCCGGCGCCTCCGCATCTTTCCTGTGCGCACGGCGAGCGGATGCGGGGCTGCGCTCCCGGCCACGCTCAGCCCTCCTGGCCGCCCGGCTCCGTCTGCCTTTGTGCACCTTGCCTCGCAAGCCGCCGTTTCTGACAGCTAATATTTCACAGAAACCGGAGCCAGCTCTCTGCCTCCCTCCTTCTCTCCTCTCTCTCTCCTGTTTATGAAGCTGAGGGTAAGTGTTTAATTAGTTGCCTAATTGCCTGGGTAATTGGTAGACATACTCAGCTCTCCAAGTAATCAGTCTGAACAGGCCTTGAAAATATCTGGCCCAATATTCATTAGTGCAGTTAAATCGTTAAACAGTTACTGTGTTTGCTTCCTGACAAAGCCCAGCGAGCCGCTATGCTGGCGGCATCGCGGGATGGGGCAGACGGAGCCACGGACGCGGCGGGACCCAGGCCGAGGGGCTGAGTCCTGTAGGAAACATCTCCGGCCGCACACGCGTTGGGACCGCGGCTGCTGCAGCCCTCCCAGCCCTGCTGCACTTGGAAGGGGCTCGGGAGCAGCCGGTAGCAGCTCAACGCAGGGGGAAAAAAAACAGCGAATGCAGAAAGAAAACAGCAAATGCAAAAGGTGGGGAAAACAGGCAGCTTGTGCCCCTGGCAGAGGACATCGGCGCAGGTGACCCTGCATCTAGGTGTGCTGAGATGCCTCCCTTCTCCACTTCTCTTCTTGCTCCAGCCTCCCCTTTGCCGCTGCTCCCATTCCGCCAGCACCGCTCCCAGCTCTGGCCCCTTCTCCCTCCCCTCGAGCAGCCGCTGGCTCCGAAGCCGGTTTTGCCATTAGCTGGAGTATCAATGTGAATATTGTCTTGGCAGGCCCCGGCCCCTGACCAGAATAACTCCTTGGAGGGGGCTCGGGCGATGCCTCCCTGCCTTGGCACAAAGGGGCCGTTCTGCTGAGCACAGCCCCCAGCCCCACGGAGCAGGAAGGGGGCCAAGGATGGCTCCCAGAGCCCAGAGAGGCTCCCTGTGCACGGCCTGGCGCCGAAGTGCAGATGCTTCTACCACGTGTTGCAGCAAGGAGCAACACAGTGCCCCTCTAAACCCCATGCACAGCTCAGCAGAAGGCCAGCCTGGACATATAACCTGAAAGTCGGTTCTAGCAGTGACTCAAGAAAAATGCACACGATGACTTGCAGCCTTATTAGAAGATGCTGGGCTGCAGAGCCTTGTGCGGTTAGGTGCCTGGGGACCTGTGCTGCCTTCCCAACCCAATGGCTGGAGCCAGTGCCGCCCCTGCTCACCTGCAGATGCTGCCAGAAGTCCATGTCATGCAGCTCCATACACTCATTTTCCACAGAGCCAGTTCTTGTCTCTCTTTCCAGAGCTATTGAGTTCACCTGTGACCCAGGAGCTCTGTGGTGATTCTCCAGTCCCGAAAGCTCCCCAGAGACCTCCTGGTGGGACAAGCTGGCCAGGGGGCTGTGGTCACAGGGCTGTGGCAGGCAAGGAGGACGCAGGTCCAGGGAAGCGAGTTCCTAATCAGATCCACACCTCGGTTTCTGCCAGATGAACAGTTGGGTTCCTGGCAGACAGACCTGTCAACCTGCAAACGAGCACAGGACACGCTCTGCAAGGCCCCTGGGTGGCCCCGTGCCAGCACCACCAATTACCCACCGCGCCAGGCAGAAGGCAGGGCGGGAATTTGGGGCAGGACAGGAAGGAAATTGGATGAAGCTGCAGAAAAGATCAGGAGGCTGTGAAAGGGAAAGAAGGGGGGATTTGGGTTTATGCTTTGGTCTGGAGCAGAGCAGGGGAAATCAGAGATGCTAAATTCTAAAAGGGGCAGACGTGAAGTGGGGCAGATTGGAGATGCTCTCTGGTCCCATGCAGGAGATAACAACTGGAAGAGGGACTAAGAGTTAAGGCTTCCATCCTGCATCACTAGAGAAAGACACCATTGGGGGCAGGTTGGTGGGCACTCGCTGGCACATCCCCATATCTGAAATCTGTGGGGACGAGGCCAAGCCTGAGGGAACATTACTAGGCACTGGGAGAACCGGGTGGCCTTCAATGGGCCTCCCAGGGATGGGCGAGTGTGGGCAGGGGAGGAATGTCAGAGGTGATTAAGAAAGAGGTTTCCATCCATTACTTTACCGAGTGGTTCCTCCAAGTCACTGGCTGGCTTTGTTCTCTCCAACATCTGCAAGAGATTACGGATGCCTCCGCAGCCGAGGACATGGATGAGATCTATAAATACCGAGCGCTGGGGGTGGCTGCTGTCAGGGCCGAGCTCAGCCTGGGTGGCCTCGAGGCGGCCGCCAGTCACGGGCAACGGGCTTGGGCAGCGCAGGCGTCTTGGCCACCACGGCGCCGGGGGACACGCAACCAGCCGCGAGATGGTGGCACCGAGGCAGGACCTTCCCAAGGCGAGTTCTTTTTTGTCCAAGGACCTAGATAGGAATACTATCTAAAACTGAGTTAACGCATGCCCAGATACCATGGTGATGGGCACCATGTAAGAAACAAGGACAGAGCAGGCAGGCTATTAATACTCGTTCTGCCCAACTTTCCTGGTCAGCACCATTCTCCCAAGACTGGGAGGGTTCTAATTCCTAACTCCATCCTCCCCATCCTCTTCCCGAATATCCCAGGAGTTTTTGTGGTTCGTACAATCTTAAAGCAGTATGAGAATTCTCAGGTGACTTAATTGCTTCCGCATGTCTTTGCTAGCACAGCTTTTCCCACCAAAAACGGATCCTGATTTTATAAGCTGCACGAAACCTAGAGATCCAGCGCTATGCTTACATGCTGTTAGCCGTAATTATTCCCTCCCTGACGAAGGATTCCTGATTAGGGATGATGCATATTCATCAGTAGTCTCTGCCAAGCCTGGCTTTGTTTTTCAAGGTCGAGGATTGTATTTTGTTGGATTCAATTCCCATCCTAGGCCAAGATTACAAGGCAGAAGAGGAGGAGGCAGCTGAGGTTGCTGGAAGCACTGATTCCTCCTAGCACTGCTCACAGCATCCACCAGATGTGCCAGAAATGCCACGCAAACCAGAGATCCTCACAGCCTTGTGGGCTCAGCTCAATGAGCCCAATGGCTTCAAAACCTGTCACAGATTGCAGTGACGTTCAAAGACTGGAGAGCTCCTGAGTGGCTCTGGTGCAGAAGGGTGGGTGCTGGGTTGGATCTCAACTCAAAATCTATGTCCAGTAGTTGGGATTTAATGAGTTCCTGGTCCAAACCCTCCCTGGGGACCTGCCCCATGTGACAACACAGGAGAAGAGGTGAGAGGGGGACCTGACCAAGAGGGACCATTTCACAGAGGAGCTTCAGCTGCTGCTCTCCCTTGCTGATTCCCCCACTTAAAAAAAAAAAAAAGAAAAAAAGGAAAAAAGGAAAAAAAAAAGAAAAAAGAAAAAATAATTACTTCTCAGCCTCTAACCTTTCCAGCAAGTGACTTTGTAATAAATAATCCACATGTCTCTCCAGTGCAATCCATCAGCAGGAGCGCCTAATTACTTTAGACTCACTTTGAAAACCCTTCCAGTGCCATTTTCAGATAAATAAAAAATTAATGTGGAACTAAAGCAGTAAACCAAAGGAAGTTTCTCCACACTCTCTCAGTTGTCTCCAGGGCTGGGCTGATGCCTGGGAGACTCTAATGCCCAAAGATGCTTCCTCCTGTCGTGCTCAAAGGTGGGCACGGGCTGCAGACTGAGGCCAAGGGAGTTCAGCTGGGCAGCACTCGTGGGGAAATCTTCCTCCTGAGATGCAGATGCTGGAGAAACAGCCATAGAAAAAAACAAAATAATTCTTGTGCCTGAAGAATTTTGTTATGAATCTCTGTTCTTTGGAAGGTTTGCTATTTCTTTTTAGAAGCATATTTTGAAGGTGGGATCATTGGTAAGGAGAATTTCATTGCAGAACACAGTTGTTCTGGTGAAAGACTCAGTTGGCCACCAAAAGGGACAGACATCCCTGGGATCCTGCTGCAGCAGCTGAGAGAAGGAAAGATGCTTAAAATATCATATCTAGTTGAGTGAAGAGGTTTGGGAGCTGCAGGTGCTCCTAGCAGCCAGAAGTGCCAGGGCTCTGCACAATCTGGTTTGCTGTGTTTTCCTTCTACATCTATTCAACGTTCTTTTTATCTGGAAGGAGCAAAGCTACCAATTTCTTGATACTGTCTGGCCCTAAGATGAATATTGAAAACACCGTGCCAGAACTTCATTTTGCAAAGAGGAAAAGCATTCCACGCCTTTGGCAGCTGAAGGCTGCAGTCTTCTTAGGCTTCGTCCACCTCTTCTTCCTCCTCTTTTCACTCTACTTCTCCATTCTCTTCTTTCTCTTTGCTTTGCTTCTCTATGCTTAGGACCCTCAGCTATACCCCATATTCAGAGGCTAAAAAAACAAAAGAGAAATAAAATTAAATATCTGAGAAAAACAGGCCCAGAACCAATAAGGCCTGATTTCACTGTAGGTTACCACAGCCCAGGCAGCAGCGTGTCAGGGGAGGAAGATGCTTGAAAAAGCTCCACAAGAGAATTAATTAAACGAATTTCACTCTGCCAATTGTTTGTTATTTTTGCTGACCTCACCAAGTGGATTAATATTTAATTAGCCTTTAGGAGAAGTGGAAAGCACTTATTAACCTGTTATGTCAATCTGTCAGGTCTGGGGTCTCAGGACAGGCGCTGTTACCATGAAACAATAGAAATATCAAGGTCTGTTTCTTGCTGGCTGCAGCAGTTACCCCTGCTGGAGGGCAGATCCAGAGAGGGATGGAGGGAGAGGATCTGGTCAGCCTGAGCTGAGGGGGTCCTAGTGGTGGGTGCCCCAAGCTTAATTCAGTTGTGTGTGCAGGAGCCAGGGAAGCCACACACCAGGTCCTGAGTGTGGGAAGGAAGCAGGAACACAATTATTTTAGGATGGAGACTAGGTCTCTTGTGGTGTGATGCTGGTGACTAGGAAAGGTTGAGGGTTTGCCTCATTTTCACTGTTCAGAAACCCCACTTCCTTCATACTGTGGTTCTAATTACCATATTTCAAAATATTAAACCTGGTGTTGACATTTCCCAAAGTATGTGGAGATGTAGTGGGTCCTGGCAAGGTGCCTGCTCTAAAGAACTGCCCTAAACCAGGCAAAGGATGAACACAGGTGGCAGAAGGAGAACCCCAGGCCTGCTGGTGACAAAAGCTGAGAATGTGCCCAGCTGGCACCAAGTTTGTGTAAAGCCAGGGAGCCTCTCCCAGGACCTCGGCTGCTCGCTGCAGTGCTGGGTCTCATCCCAAAGAAATAAAGATTTAATGATAGCCATGTTTTTAAGAAACACCCTCAGCCAAGCAGTGTGATGGATGCTGTGAACGGGTTAAAGAGCCTAGGAGGGGCTTAGAAAGAGATAGTGCCTAAAAATCTTCTTCTGTGGGAATTCTGGCACGCTCTAGGCACGTCCATGAGTTAAGATCCAACTTACTGCCCTCACTATTTCTCTCTTTTAAGAGCGACCACAGGAGGAAAATTACTCTCATTTTTACCTAACCTAGCAAAGTCATAACAAAATGTCCAGCTCCAAACTTCTGCCAGTCCTAAGGTCACCATATCTGCATTCTAAATTTTGCTTAAGGAGTCAAGACTAAAGCTTCGGTAAAAATAACCAACAAGCTCTCTCTTGGTATTCAAAATCATCCTGGTTTTTCAGGTTAAAAAGAACACCAGAGAGATGCCAAGCACCACAAGAGCCAATCTCCCGACAGGAGGAGAAACCTTCAGTAGAATGTGAAAGCAACAACCATCAAACCATAGTCAGGAGAGCATGGGGTTTCTGGTATCAGGCTTAGAAGTCGCCTTCAGTCTCCGCACAGGAAAGGCAAAACGAGCAAATGGAGGCAGGAGAGGGAAGAGCAGAGGTCAGCCTGGAGCTGGGGGGTCGCCTCCCCCTTCTGCAATCTGCCACTGTGCACCAGAGCTCCCAGGCAGGGCTGTCCATGCCACGGGGGCAGGATCCAGCTCTTCATGCAGCTGCCTCCTCTCCAAGGGCACGAGCTCTGCCCTGAGGCTGCCCAGGCCGGGCGCCTGGAGCGGGTGCCACTGCTGCTGCTTTGTGACAGGTCATATCATTTATTATTATTATTATTATTTTCTTAAATTAAAACCCTCCTGAGCTTTATTAAATAGGGATGCTGATAGGTAATTAAATCGCAACTTAATTAAATCTGCCTGCACAATCCAACCGCGGCACGCTGGCTACTCTGCAATCCCTGGGAGAGGCGTTGTCAGTGGAGAGCGGCTACACGGATCAAACCTTGTGCTTGGTGCTGCCACTGCCTCTCCGCCTGAGTTCATGGTGCCGGGGCCATGTGGCACCAGGCTGGCCAGGTCTTGCGACAAGGGTGGGCCAGAAACTGCAGTAATGCAAAGAGGAGCAAGGTCCAGCAAACCTGGTGGTGGCTTTACAGCAACCTGGAGGCTCCAGGTGATGCTCTTGGAAGAAGATGGTGCAACCCTGCAACAAGTTGGCTGCTCAAAGGATGAGCATTCACAGGTGCTGCTGAGGGCTGGATGATGCAGGGCTGTGGGAACACAACTCTCTGGACCTGGCATCAATGTATTTGAGTCCAGATCCCATCCCCAACCATCCTCCAGAAAGTGAAGGAAGAAAACCTCACAAAAAGACCTGAGGGTAACAACACCTAACAAAATGCAAAATCCCAAAGAGGTGGCCAAGCCACAGGGAGCCAGCTCAAGGGCCTGGTTTTTATACAGACAGCTTGAGAGAGCAAATACCTAATCCTATGTGGCCTCACAGGTGGAGGAGTGAGACTCCTACCAAGATTAATGTTTAATGCTTGAGCTGGCAGGCAATGCCCCGGGTCAGGATGCCTGGGCTCCCCACAGCTTGGTTGAAAGAGGCTGGTACCCGACCTCAACGAGCTTCTATACCGGATATTGGGGATGACCCAGCATGCAGGAGAAGGTCGAGGAGAGGCTGTCAAGTTCACGACTCACCACATCATTTGCCGGGTATTACAAAGTGCTGTGCACTGGGGCTGCAATAACAGATGAGTTGTCCTGTCTGATCTGCTGGGGCATGTGAAACTTCAAATTTCCTAATTGTTTTAGGGCCACTAAGGTGGGCTGCTGCGACACGGCATCGGGCAGGGCAGTCAAGAGAAAAGGCAGCTCATTCCCACCGCTGGGGTTGTGTTTCTGTTCCTGTTTCTGCTCTGTGAGTATAGACGTGCTAGGGAACTGTCCTG